GGTTATCTGAGATGCGATCTCAAAAACGAACAAACAAGGAAAAAATGGAAGAAACCAAATGAACAAGCAAAATGTGATAGAGGAAAAAAGGTGAGATTATATATACCTTTCAAGTAGATGGAAAATCTACTAAGATCTAGATGATGGTCGTTTAGGATCTCATACACACGCTATAAAATTGCTTCACACTTAAATCAGGATGTTTAACACAACATTCAAGGTTGGGAGGAGCTGGGGAGCAGCACAGGAAGGGAAGGCAAAGAGCTGGACAAGCCAGGCGGCAGCCTGGTCCACTCACCAAAGGCCTCTATTCTCTTTAGCAGCCTGTTTGAGGTTTATATAGCATTCAACACACACACATACTTAAAAGTGTCCAGTTCAATTATTTTTATAAAATTCACGGATTTGTGAAACTGTCACTGATTTCAGAACCTTTCCATCAGCTCAGAAAGGGCTCAGGGGCCACGGAGCAAAGGGGGGAAAGATTGTGAGGAGCAAACATGGGGCGGTTGCTGTGAACAGAGCCTCTGGGCAGGACAGGACCACTGTACTCATGATCTCCCAGCAGCCATGATGATCGAGACAGTCTTTGTTCTAGCATGGTGGGGGCCGGGCACTTAACAGCCCCTGTGCCTAACTGAGGAGTCATTGACAGTGAATGGCTTCTAGGGGAGGGAGGGTAAGTTTTCTTTAAGGATATGGGCCATGGTTGGGTGACAATGCTGCAGTGGATAGACCTACACCGTGGGTACAAGGACAGCACAACTTGGACTCAGTAGACTATTAAAAAAAAAAAGACACAAAGTTAGGAAAGGGTAGAGGGTGGGGTAGATACGGGAGGAGTTAGGGGCGGGAGTGGGAGATGAGTGTGATAAAATACATGGCATGCATGTAAAAAATTCTAAAAAAATAATAAAATTATTGTATTTAAAAAAATAATAAAATTATTGTATTTAAAAGTAATAAAGAAGTAGGGTGGTGATGGCACACATATTTAATCCCAACATTTGGGAAACAGAGTCAGGTGGATCTCTGAGTTCAAGGCCTGCCTGGTCTACAGAGTGAGTGCCAACACAGCCAAGGCTACACAGAGAAACCTAGCCTTAAAAAACTAATAAAAATAAAATTAAAACAAAGAAAAAAAACCCTCATACCTTTTTCACCTCTTCCATCCTAACCGAGAACTGATTCGTTGGTAAAGATTTCTTAGAAACATTTTTCTAGGAATGGATTCATGCAATATGTGGTCTTTTAGGCCTGGCTTCTTTCACTTAGCAGGATGCTACCGAGGTTCACACAAGTAGCATGTTTCATACAGTAGTGCACCTCTTTCTGTGTGCGCGCGCGCGCGCGCGCGCGCGCGCACACACACACACACACACACACACACACACACACACGCTAAGGTGTGCGGAAGCCAGAGGTCAAGGTCAGATGCCTTCCTCAGTCTTTCCTGGACTCTGCTTCCCGAGTGCTGGGATTACAGGCACAAGCCACTGCAGCAAGCTTTTATGTGAGGGCTGGGGGCTCAAACTTGGGTTTTCAGGGCTGAGTCCCAAACCATTTCCCCAGCCCTGCCTTCCTTTTAATAATATCTCATTGTACAGATAGATCATATTTTCCTGTCCACTTATCAGCAGATGGGCATTTTTTTGTGTGTGTGTTTCCGCCTCTTAGCTGTTACCATGGGTGCATCTATGAACCTGTGTGTAGTTTTGTTGTTCCTTTTAAAATTTATTTTTATGTGCAGCGCTGGGATTTGAACTGAAGGCCTTGCTCATTATACACAAATGGTCTTCCACTGAGCTATACTGCTAATTCTATGTATATGTTTCTTTTTCATGGCTGTGCTTACATTTCTCTTTAATATAGACTTATTATAGTGGAATTGTGAGGTCATACAGCAACTCTGTTTAACTTAATGGACCACAATTTTCAAATTAAACATCATTTTATATTTCCATCAGCAATTTCTTCACGCTTTCACCAACACTTGGGATTATCTGATTTTTTTTTTTAAATTACAGCCACAGTAGTGAGTATAACATGAAATCTCATTGTGGTTTTGACTTGCAATTACCTGGTGGATAATGATGTTGGGCATATTTTTATGGCTTTAATGGTCATTTATCATCTTCTTTGGCCTATTTTACAATAGGCCTTTTTATTAGTAAATTAGAAAGGCTTTTTATAACTAAATCCCTAATCCGATATGTATTTCGATCTTAAAGATATATATTTATGGTTTTATTTTTGCTTTTGTTTTGTTTTTGTTTTTCAAGACAGGGCTTCTCTGTAGCTTTGGAGCCTGTCCCAGAACAAGTTCTTGTAGACCAGGCTGGCTTCGAACTCACAGAGATCCGCCTGCCTCTGCCTCATGAGTGCTGGGATTAAAGGTGTGTGCCACCACTGCAGGGCAATATTTACGTTTTGAGAGTTATTTTTCATAACTCTCTTGTTTCCAAGTCCTACTTGTAAACTTGGCAATACGTTCATGACTACTTTAAGTAGAATAGTTATAACTTACATAGACTTGGCATTTTCTGGTGTATAATATATAATCGATGAATTAAGAGTGAAATTAAGAATTATCTTCATAATAAAGATATGTGTTAGGAGATACACAAAGCAAAATAAAACATCATGTCTAAAAGAAGCTAATGTTCTTGTGAGTATTTAATTTCTCGGCATAATTCAAGCAGTTGGAGACTTAGGCTATCAGATTCTAACCCAAGGTGGGAAGAAGCTGTCTACTGTCAGGAGAAAAAAAATCTGCTTATTCCCTCCCATGTCCTTCATCCCTATAAATGAAGAATTGTGTGTGTGTGCATACGCATGTGTGTGTTAGCAGGAATAATTGTTACTGGTGAAAACTAAACTGTAAACTTCAATATCTGTCAATACAATGAAACTTGGTAGTACTGTTCCATGCCATAGTCTCCTTGGCTGCTTTTTTAAAAAATTTATTTCATGCTTATGAAAGTGTTTTGTCCATACATCTGGCTGTGTACCATGTGTGTGCCTGGTGCCTGCAGAAGCCTGAAGAGGGTTATGAGCTGCCAGGGTGCTGGGAACCGAATCCAGGTCCTGTGGGAGAGTAGCCAGTGCTCTTAACTGCTGAGCTATCTTTCCCACCCCACCCCTCCTGGATCACTTCTGACTTACATCTGAGGAGTTACTCAACAGACGACACGGGTTGCAAAGCCTCCGATTTCCCAGATCTTCAGCCAGGAAGTATAGCAAACCCCACACCTTGTCCTATCAACAAGCCAAACAACGTCCTTCTCAGTGACAAGTGGAGAAAACCTCACTCCCTGCTTGTGAGACTGGTTGGCAATTGTCACAGTTTCTCACAGTCTCTTCATCCTGTGCCATCACTTGACCCTAATTTTATTAAGGATTTTCAGATTTGAGGATTCATGGAGAAATAAGTCTTCTATTGGGGGAAAAAAAAGCGCAGTCTTGTCCTAGCTTCAAGCTACTGATTTAATTATTTCTGCCAGCTTTTGGAGATCTCAGTGCAGAGCCATGCGCTCTCTAACACGCTCTCAGTCCATAACCATGCCGAGCTCACAGAGCTACAGAGCCCCTCCCGGCCCTCTGCAGGCCTGCGTTCTAATCAAACCCCAGCACACGGAAACCACTCCAAAGATGGTAGCACCACTGCCCCTTACACCAAGTGGTCCCAGCTACGTCAGCAAGACTTCTGAGGCAAATCTCCGAAATTAAAATTATCTATCTAGCCAGGTGTGGAAGCGCACATCAGGAATCCAGCACTCAGAAGACTGGAGCAGGGGGATTGTGACTTTGAGGTCAGCCTGGACAAATGGGGAGTTCCTGGCCAGCCTAGGTACAGCGTGAGCTTCTGCCTCACAGAAAGCAAAGGTGTTGATGCGTACCTGTAATCTCAACACTGAAGAGACTGAATGAAGTAGGAGGATTATTGGTAAGAGTCTGAGGTCGGCTGGAGTTTCAGAGTGAGGCTCAGTCCACCCACAAGCCAACCAGCCAAACAAACAAATGAAATTGACATGGGCAGTAAATGCCAGTGCTTGCCAGCCATTCTGATAAACTAAGTTTTATCCCAAGTTTTCTGGGCTTCTGAATTCTGCTGACTACACAGGCAAAAGCCCCCTTATCTTGCCTGCTCAATATTCGCCACCACTTGGCCTTTTTGGACCTAATTCTAAATAACACTTCCTGAACATCCTAAAAAACACAGACTCACTCAAAGAACGCATGGATTCCGATATTGCCAACGCACACCCTCTTTGTGGTGCTGATGAGAATAAAAATTCTCATGTGCATAGCCGACCATCAGCCTAAGTGACGACAAGATTGCTGATGTCACAAAAAAAGCCCCTATGGGGCAGTCAGCGAGCAGCTGCAGGGTACCATTTTCAGAGCGGTCCCTTCAAAGCCTTGGTTGCGTTTGCATTTTTTAGAAGTGACTCATGGCCTCAAGTCAGGTTCCGCAGAGAAGCCAGGTTTCTTTCCTTCCAGCACTTTCGAATAGAGGTGGTACTGGCAAGAGCCATCTCAATGAAACCCACCCAGGAACCCGTGAGAGGTTCAGAGCAGGGCAGTGGAGACCCCTCGAAGTTAGACCACCTCAGGGTGAGGTGGCTGTCGACCGGCAGGCTACGGGTGACCCTCCAGCCGGGAACTCGCGGCCCTCAGCGCCAGGGGAGCAGCTAGAGCGTTGGGTTGCACTGACCCAGATGAGGACCGCCCAGGCACCGGTCCCGGAATCCCAGGTCCTCGTATCCCCAGTCCTCACATCTGGGTGGCCTCAGATCCCTGAGCCCGCGTCGCCTTTCTTCCCGGCGTCCGGGCCATCTCCCCCCCCCCCCCCCCCCCCCCCCCCCCCCCCCCCCCCCCCCCCCCCCCCCCCNCCCCCCCCCCCCGAGCGCGCAACTTGCGAGCGCCCGCCCGGAGCCTAGGCAAGCCCACCACCCCCCTCCCAATTTCCCCAGGTTCCCCGCGCGTTCCAGCCTGACCTGCTGTGGAGCCCAGGTTCCGGCTTCGGTGATGCAAAGCTGGCTTCGGTCACTCGCGCGCCCTCGTCCCGCAGGCCCTGCGCTACCTCAGCCTCCCCCCCTTGCACGGGAGCCCGAGCCGGTCACGCTGCTCGCGGGGAGAGTCGCCCGCGGCTTCCGGCAGCTCCAAATACAGACGCGCGCGGGAGGGGCCGGGAGCGCCCAGCTGAGGGCGGGGGAGGCAACGAAGGGAGCAGAGAAGAGGCGCAGATGGGCTGTGGGAGAAGAGATATGGGAGGGCAGAGGCGATGACCAGGACAAGCAGGAAATTCCTTCGTCTCCTCCAGGTTTGCAAAGAGGTCTGGAAAGGTCTAGTGGCTACTGGCTGGGGGGTGATACACAATGATCCGGGCAAAGAGAGGGATAATGAGGTAAACTCAAATGTCCTCCAGCTCGAGGTAAAGGATAAAGGGCTACAGACACATTTATCTCTTTAGATAGACTGTAGATTCAGGGCAATTGATACTTCCTTACAATGTTGTTCAATAGTAACTTTAAAATAATTTACCAACTTTAAAAAGTCATCTGATTATTTAGTAACAAAATATGTTCCTAATATGTTCAAAATATGCTCTCTGGTTAGCATAATCAGTTTGAAAGGATTGATTTTCAACTTCCTTTTTTTTTTCTTTTTTTTTTGGAGGGGGTATAGAGTTTATTTAGTGGATATTGGGAAGGGTATAAGGGTAACATGTTTTGGGGGGAAGAGAGAGGGGAAACAGAAAGAGAAGAAAGAGGAAGGCGGAGGGGAGTCAGAAACTGCCTCTTCAGAAAAAGGACAGTCTGGAATACTGGGCATGAATCCCTTCATTGAACGAATGAGGGGTTTTTGTTTAACTTTTGAGACAGTGTCTCAGTGCGTAGCCCTCACAGGCCTGGGACTTACTATGTAAACCAAGCAGTTCTCAAACTCACAGACATCCTTCTACCTCTGCCTCTTGAGTGCTGGGATTAAAGTGTGCACCGCCACTGACAGGGTCTGGAGATATTTAAGACTACTGTGTAAAATGGCATAGCATTTGCAGACTGCTGGAACCTTCCTGCATGCTGATCAAGTCCAGGTGATTCACAGTACCCAATACAATAGAAATGCTGTGTAAGCAGTCATTGTGATGTACTGTCTGGGGGGCAGCAAAGACAATGATTGAAGCTGTTCAACTCCACCTCTAACATCTTAAATCCACGGTTGGTTGACTCCACGGATGGAAGCTCCATGGATGCAGAGGCCTGCCTGCTGAATTTTATGTTAGACTATGATGTACCGTGGAGTATAAGATGAAGGCATAGTTCTGTTATTGAATTTGTAATGTAACGGAAAGATGGGAGACTGTGTATGTAGCCACAGAGTGAGGAAGATGATGAGAAATGTCCAAAATATGCACAGAGCTCCTGGAAGCAGAGATGAGAGGAGGGTGTTGGGTCCAGAGGGCCCGGAGTATTTTCTAGCATAAGTGAAAGGTGGGATTTTAGGCAGAAGAAAGAACGGAAGAGAGAATGGCCCCAGAGCTTAGGAGGTTGAGACAGGAAGATGGCGCCAAGTTCAAACCAACCTGGGCTACATAGTTAGAGGCCTCCCTAGGCTGATGGTGCAAGATTCTGTCTCAGTGCCTGAGAGGGATTGGGGAAAGAAATGGAGAAGAGGGAGGGGGAGGGTAGATAAACCCATAAAGGAAGCTGGATTAGAGGACTGTCACGTGGAAGGAGGCCTTCAGTTCTACTCCAAGACATTAAACTCTCAGTAGTAGACACTGGGAGGCTGCTAACGACTTTAAAAAGCAGAGTTGAGATAGCAATGGTCAATCCGTCATGATTCACAGGGCCAAAAAGAAAAGCAGCAGTGGTTCCCACTTAGTCCCACATACTGTAAGACCCGTGCATGGTGTGTCTCCAAGGGACAGACCTCCTAAGAGTCTTTTCTCTTCATAACTCTCTAAAATGATGGCCCACATTTTTCCAACCAGTCCTGAAGAGTCCAAGGAATCAGAGGTGACATTTTCTGGGTTCAGGGCTGTGTCCACAGAAGCATCTCTGAGTCCTCTTCATGGATAATGTTCTTGGTCAGAATCTGAAAGTGGTGGAGCTGGAAAGAAGAAGAAAGGGCTGAGCTAGACTTCCCTTGTTGACCTGCCTTGAGACTCCAGCCCAAACCTGCCTTTGTTCTGAGCAAATGATCTCTTTAACAAAGAAGCGAATGCGAGTTCTGGCCAGCATCAACTCTCTTCTATCTCCATGTTTCTTCTCTGTTTGACTCTGTATTGATCAAGAGTCACAGGGAAAAGAAAGAGCCCAAAATATAAAATAGAATCTCTGTTTTTCTTTACGTAGGGCAAAAGTTTTGACTGAACTCTTGTCTGTGACTCTCGACATAGCAGAGGTTTCCAGAGCTTCAAAACTCAGTCTGGAGCAGGGGAGATGTTTTGTTGGTAAAGTGCTTGTCCTACAAGCTTGAAGATCTGAGCATGATCTCCAGACCCCTTATACATTGCTGGGTGTGGTGGTGCACACTTCTAATCCAGGGCTGGGGAGGCAGAGACTTGCAGCTCCCTGGGGCTCACCAGCCAGTCTGACTAGCCTATTTGTAGAACTTCAGTCTCGTGACAGACCCCCTTTCTCAAAATAAAGAGGGACAAAACCCATGGCTGTCCTCTGACCTCCACAGCAGCTACATGCACACATACACACATGCACCTATACACATGTACATATGAACATACATACATTCATATTTCTACACACACATGAACCCATGAAAACACACACACACACACACACACACACACACACACACACACACACACACACACACTGTGGTTTCCAGAATTTCATCTTGGTCTGTTTGTTGCTGTAACTGAGCTCCTGAGGCTGGGCAACTTTACTACATATCCCACTAGTTAGTCTGTGAATAAAAGAAATTTATTCCTCATGGTCCTGGAAGTGGGGAAGTGGAAGACCCAGGAGACTGGTGTCTGCTGACAGCTCACACTCTGTTTCCAAACTGGCGCCCTTGCTCACATGGCAGAAGGCAGAAGGGCAAAAAGCAGACAAATGGTGTGTGCCTGCTCAGGGTTGAGGAGCAAAATGGATGAGAGCTCCCACAGCCTTTCTCTTGAAATATTACATTTATATATTTTGTATATATACACACATACACACACAAATATATATATATATATATATAAATTGCAAGCGCATGCCACAGCACACATGTGGAGGTCAGAAGACAACTTGCAGGAGTTGGTTTTCTTTTTCCACTACGTGTGTCCCAGAGATGGAGCTCAGGGTGACAGACTTGGCAGCAAGCACCTCTATCTCCCACTACCCCCCTCCAATCTCTTTGTAAGAACACTGATCCCAGCCCAGAGGGCCGGGGCATTCTGGACTCTCCCACTTTGTCATCTCTCGTCGTTAAATGCTCTGGCATCTGGTAGTAGCCCCATGTGCACTTTTAGGAAGGCGAGTGCATTCAGCTCTGGCAGGTCCCAAAGCACCTAGTCCTCTGACTGATTCACAGAATGCTAACCACCATTGAACTTGCTTGGTGAAAAATTCTCCCCTTGTAACGGTGTATTATATGGGAGCCAGTGAGTCTTTTAAAATACTTTCAGCTAAGCAGCCGTCACCATGACCGATGGGGACAGGGAGAGCCCTGCATTCCAGAGTGTTCCCCCAAATGAACCTATTCTAGGTGACCAGACCACTCTGCAAATCCTGTTCTACCCCCAGGGATGCTGGGATCTAAGATGGGATCACTGATCCTTGGTGTTTGATGGCAATCTCTTTTGCTCCACTGGTAAGGTCTCTCTCAGGCAAATAGAAAACACACAACAAACAGTTCTTCCCCAAGGCTTTTCTTGGTTCCCAAGGAAGCCAAGAAGATGACGGTGTCGCTCCACAAACACTCCTTTTCTGGAGTCAAAAGACCGAAAGACTGCTGCCAGTGTACTGTAGGACTTTGTGTTTTATTTTAACAAGTTCCCAGTGGAAAATTACCAGTAGTCATTTATACCAGCAGACGGCTCGAGAGCATTTGTTCTACAAATAGTTGATGTTATACTGTGCTGCTCACATCCCGGGTACCCAGAATGCAGCACTGTCAGCAAGTCGAATACCAATGCTATTGACCTTCCACCGGCACAGCTTCCACACCCAAGGATCCAGCCAACCTCAGGCTTACAATCTCTGAAATATAAACTGTAGGGAATTTTTATTCTTGTCATTAATCTCTAAGCAATACTGTATGCAATTATTTCTGTGATGTTTCTACTGACTGGGTACTAGAAGCAATCGGAGTATACTATAGGACAGTCTAAGCTGTAAGCAACACTACACCATTTTATAGTAAGGGTATGGTGTGTGGAAGAGCCCTGGGATACCAAGAGAGAACTGCGATTAATTAAAAAATTTAAGCTCTTAACTTCATATGGAACAGCAAGAAAATCAGGACAGCCAAAACAATCCTGTACAATAAAGGAACATCTGAAGGCATCACAATCCCGACTTCAAACTCTACTACAGAGCTACAGTACTGTAAACAGTCTGGTATTGGCATAAAAACAGACAGGAGGACCAATAGAACCGAATCAAAGACCCAGATATTAATCCACACACCTACGAACACCTGATTTTTGACAAGCAAAAAATATAAAATAAAAAAAAAGAAAGCATGTTCAACAAATGGTGCTGGCATAACTGGATATCAGCATGTAGAAGAATGAAAATAGATCCATATCTATCACCATGCACAAAACTCAAGTCCAAATAGATCAAAGACCTCAACATAAAGCCAACCACACTGAACCTCATAGAAGAGAAAGTGGGAAGTACACTTGAACATATTGGTATAGGAGACCACTCCATAAATATAATCCTGGCAGCACAGACACTAGAGAAACAACTAATAAATGGGACCTCCTGAAACTGAAAAGCTTCTGTAAAGCAAAGGACATGGTCGACAAGACAAAACAGCAGCCTACAGAATAGGAAAGGATCTTCACTAACCCCAGATTGGACAGAGGTCTGATATCCAGAATATACAGAGAACTTAAGAAATTGGTCATCAAAAAGCAAATAATTAAAAAAAAATGGGGTACAGACCTAAACAGAGAACTCTCAACAGTAGAATCTAAAAT